GTCTCTCGAAGAGCAATCTTGAACAAGAAAAATGAAGCGATTTGCCGACTATCTTTCCCGAATTTGACCAAATTGAATACACGCGGGCACCAAAAGGGCGTGCCAGTCGAGCTTCTCCAGTGCCAGCATGTTGATTGCAATAGAGGTGCAAAGTCCCGGGAAACCCTCAGACTGTGGCGCTGCACTGCTGTTGCTTCGGCCTCTTTGTCGCTACAAGAATGGCATCAGATCTTCTCAGCTACACCCATAAATTAGACAATTCTGTCCCTTGTTTTGCATTTTCTCGCATCTTCATCCTAAAGATTTGTGCTGCCGCTTTCCACTGTCCACACAAATTTCAGTATCTCCTGGCCATGCCGGCTTACCGCTGTGCTGCACGTGGCCCTTAGTGCGGTGCCTGTCGCTTCAGAGACTGTACCACTACCTTAGGAATAGCAGGGTGTGACCAGCTTTTCCCAGGTATTTTTGTTCGATTGTTGCAGCGACACAACACCAGCTATCAGCCACACGTAGGACTAACCACCCTTCGTGTCGCGCCAACGCTCCTCGACCTTCCATTCCTCAGGCTTTTGAAGACACGAGTTAGTGCGCAACAATACGATACGGCCCCAAATGGCCTTTAGGGTTATATGATTCGAAAACTTGCACATCGATACAACAACTGGAAGTAACTAGAATGTTTAGGAGTTCGGTCCTCAGTCTAACAGTCTCAATCCGCTCTGCAGCTACTCTCGGCAGTTTGGATCTGCCAAGACACTGAATTAGCAATGCAGAGCACGGCCAGGCAGTGACAGACATCCAAGGGGAGACAGATGCAGTCCCATAGTAGCCATGTCCAGCTTAGTCAACCAGTGAGGAGGTGCTCCCTACAGTGAACAGGCTGCTACAGCACCAGCCTAGTAGAAATGACAAACTGGGAGCGAAGTGCTAGAAATACATAAGCCCATCTCCACGTCTGTATCCTAGGTATCCTCCTGAGGAGTCATGGTTCTAGCAGGAACCCAGCTGAGCGTCTCACCGATTAAGAATTATAGTTTGTCTCCCCTCTGTAGGTCTCCGAGAGAAGGGTCGACAAGGGGATAGCCAGCAAACTGTTTTCTACGCAAGCTAGCTAAGAGTAAACTGATTTAGCCGCGTTGCGGAATTCACTAGCTGGTCAGCTTCTTCAAACAGGAAACTTCCAGGGGCCCCCAGAAACAAACCGTACACAACCAACGCACAAATGTTTAGCCAGCGAGTTTTCATTATGCAATGCCAGTCGCCCAACCGTAAGGAATTCTGCCTCTTGGGTTGGCATCCACTGCGACAGCACCAGCGTTTTCACATACTCGTCTCTTTTGCGCGCTGCTGGCGAGTACTCGTCAGATCTATGCCTAAATATAGACTGGACTGAATTTGTGCGATGATCGCCATGGTAAATCTCAAATATAAAGCCCTTTTACTGAAGAACAGAGTGCAGCAATGAAGATGACCGACCACGTGGCCTCACTATGTAATTGGTTAACTGGAAAACCTAGGATAGGTCTGCTGTGAATTTAGAAACTGCCAAAGTAGTCCAACAGCCTGAGAGCCTCGTTATGTCTTAAACAGCTGTCTGGAGACGTTGGTTCTGGGGCATGACGTAGCGGGATATTCTCAAGGGCGCCGGCATACTGCTCATCACGTTCCCAAAACACTTTGCCGAATAGCCTCTAAATTCAACCCCAACAGATGGAATCTCTTGCTGTTCAGCAATTGAGCTTCTGCGTGATCCCCCAGTAATTTATAACGATGGTGTATTCCCCTAATATGGTGCTAATTTGTTTTCAGCTCGTTTGAACGCCCATCTATCCAAAATTTTCTTTCTATTGTGTTTATATCTGTGTCCTTGGCCTCACTTCTCGAAAACATTATATAATAAAGCCAGTGTCTCACAAAGTATGCGCGCTGCGTGTTTTTGATATGTCTTCACAGCTCTGCTTTCGTGGTCTCCCTGGCTTTCTGGCAAGCAGCCATTATCTGCTCAGCTCGGAACAGAGGTTGCATTATGGCACTCGATCGTATGTTTTCTTCTTAGCGCTGTGAAACAAATAAAAAAGTTGTTTCGCATTTACCACAAGGATACACGAATGAGCCATCCTCAGCATGCCTAGAGTTTCGCCGGAAAACATGGGCTCAAAATAAAGCTCTATAGTGTTGGTCGAAGGCAGGCACTGAAGTTATTACTAATAGTAATATCCAGGATTCTGTCAATGCCTGCACTTCTGCTGCGTGTAAAGCATAGCCTTAGGATTCAGAGCCAAAGTGCAGTCGATGCAGCAATCAGAGCTAGTTTTGTTGTCTCCTTCCCCTACTTTTTGGCTGATTGCCCTTTCTCTGCAGTTGCGCTTTGAAGCGCTTTCAGCACTTTCGAGACTTCTGTTGAACATCCAACTAAAGTATAGAAATGTGTGGTAGTGCTTGTTAGATACAGTGACTCGAATTTCACCCAATGCTGCGATCGGCGCTGCAATTTGCTTTTCCAGTTTAACATACAATGCTGTGAAATTGACGAAAAAATATATTTCTATTCAAATGTCTGCGAACGCCATGCATGTAACGACACCTGGAACGTATTTGCTCAGTTGCAGCCAGATGGTTTTACAAGGAAGGCGCTGCCGTGTGTACTTAGTGCTGACACCCACCTCCTACCCAAAGAGATGCATGATCCCTTGTGCACTCTGTTCAGTAAGGTCACTTCTTCTTTACTGCATCTAAGCGCGTTCGCTGTTAGCTCTGAGGAGACTTGCCAGACACTTCAAAAGTGGAGTCACTTGAGCACGAACTCCTCGCCCTTGAATTCGTTTGAAAATTTCAAAAAAGCTCACATGTGGCAAAAAAAGATTCAGAAAGAAAAGCCGGGGGCAGACATAGACTGTTTTGCCCTGGGTAAGCCAATTTTGTTTGGGCGCAGGAAGAGCTCGAGTTTCTTTGATACTAATAACAAGGGACTGATTCGAAAATATAAGCATTTAGACGAGTTATGTGTTAGTGTGATTCCCTGTTCAGAGGCCGCTTGCATCTAAGCGAACGGCAGTCAAAGCAAAAGAGCACGAAATGCTGAATTTCCAGCATAATATGCATGCATCGTTTACTCTGAGAAAGTCGATGATTCATCAACTGTTGTAGAAAATCTCTCCAGTTCTCCACACGCCTTGGACTACCTTTGGTGTGGAGGAATTCTTCCTCGTCGAAAGGAAACCTCGTTTTTCAAAAAGTTTCATACGTCGAAAATTGTAAGGGAGAACGCACAATACGTAATATACTCTGTGGTTCTAGAACTTCAGAAAGGTTCGTAATTCAAAGCATCGGATGTGGACAGGTGCTCGTTCTATCTTCTTCTTGGGTACGTGCATACATTTAGAGCTTGGGAACTGTACTAGAAATCGTTTTTGGTCTGGACTGTATAATCTTTCTGCCTCCAGACTTAGTGAGATGCCGAAGCGCTTCGGGGCTGGCCTACAGCCCCGAATGCCAAGCACATGCGGAAAGCCAGTGGCACTAACATCTGCTACAAACGATATAAGTAGTGTAAAAGATCTATGGCTATTGTCATGCGTTACTCTGGGAGACACAAAACCTCTATGAGACGTAATTTTATTGGGTAAATATGTGTCTACCCGACCTGCATGATTGTCGCCAGAGCGTGGTGAGCGGATGGTCGACACTCATGAGTTCCTTCAGGGATATCCTAGTTTCGCAGAGATAGATCACTGTTTACAGTGTCATGTTTAAAATGCAAAGCTGAGTTCGCAAACACAAAACCTGCTCTGCGCTTGAGTAGGTGCGAAAAGGAATTGGCAAGGGCAGCTTAGTCAGAACAATCCCCCAAATCGGCCTAGGATTCCCCATCATTTTCACATTTATCAGAGAACAGGAGAATCTTTGGCGTGAGATCAAGCTCATCATTCTTGATTTGGCCCATAGTAGGTCGCCAACCTCATTTGCACTCGTGTGCTTTGGCGTTAACCAATAAGTTATTCCAAAGCACAAACTATGGAAAATCCAAAACGCCCACATTCACAGCATCAAATCCGGGCGCTTTTCGAAAATTTAATATATTCTTGACTCCTCAAGGGACTGTGAAGTCACCTTTGAGATTTTGACCCAAGACCCCGAAGGAAGCGAGATCCCAATGGCTCCTTGAGTAATGCATCTTCTGGCGTCCAAAGGGCACCCTCCACATCAGTTTCTCCCTGCACGTATCCTGGGCTTCAACGCATTCCATATGTTGTTCTAGTTACGTGCTGCCTTCATAGCTGCCTACCATAGAAGTTGGTTCGCATATTAATGATGATTGTAATGCCTCCGGGACCCGTTAAGATCAAAGCGTGCTGCCTGTAGATCCGCCAGCCACAAAGGTATGAGTTTGACTGAGAATGCGTCGCATACATTCCGCTGAGATATGCAATCCTTTTAGCAATAAAAATTCATAGTATGAAGTGCAGAGCTCCTACTAATAGCGTATCTAACGGTGCGCCCGAATTACCAAGGTGCCGATACATCACATGCTCAGGCAGGTAAAACTTAACAAGCTTCCTGAAAGAAACCACTCCTGGTTTTGTGCTTACAGGCCTCATTCCTGCGCATTCGACATGCTTAGCAAAACTGCAAAATCACCATAGTAGACCAGGAAAAAGAAGAGGAGGATCATTTGTGGAAAATTTGCGTTCGGCACATAACTTGTAGGTGCAGATGGTTTCGCACGGTGATGAATTTCAGCCAACTATAACAGGAAACGCTGCCGCGGAAGTTCCCTTTTAACTTTGTCCTCTATTTGCTCTTGAAGCGCGATGAGAAGCTGCAATTTTCTGGACTGCAGCAACACGTTCTCCATCAAAATCACACATTGTAGCCTACAGCTGCAGCACGGCTCTTGGGCGTCAGAGCTATGATCTCTTTTTGCGGCCCATTTCTCTCTTATGTGGCCTTCAAACAGCTCTTCTTTTCGTTGGAGAAACTTGTTTGACGGGTCTGCAGCAATGAATTGCGAGGAATCAAATATAAAGGCAGCTTCGGAGGAATCGTTACTCTTGCAAGGCCCCGGGGGGGTTGGATCCAGCGAAGAGGACGTGGAGCAGACGGAGAAAAGCGACGCAGACTATAGAGGAAGAAACGCCGCACCTGCTCCTTCAGACAGTACATCTGAAGAGAGCAGTAGCTGTCGTGCTGGCAGCAGGACGAGCTGCTTTTCGCTCCAGACTACCAACAAGCCAAGCCAGCAGCTGTCTCTGTCTCCTCCAGGCCATGGTGAGAGCCTTTTGGGTTGCCAGAATGCCAACACGACTCGCCGTGAGGACCCGGACAACTCTCTTTCGTCAGATGACAGTCAGCGGCCGCTTCCAAGCTTAAAAATCCCATCTGAATCAAGTACCAAAAGCATTCGTTGTCCGTCTGAGCTTAGCGCAAATGATGCATCACCTCCATGTAATGCCTCTGCTCATGTGTCTCCTTCGCTGCCCGTGGTTGCCTCTGCTGTTCATCCTGGAGGCACAGGAACTACGCCTGTCGGAAGTTCAGGTGGGCGCTCTTGGATTCCGACGCAGCAAAGGCTGCAGACAGTGTCTATAGGCGGAGATGTTAGGAGTTCTTCATCGGGTACTCCTGGGTGCCTCCATCCAGCAGTCTTTCTGGGACCCAACAGCCAGGCGCCGGCCCTTTCCGCCAATAATACTGTTGGATCATCAGCCCTTTCTGGTTCAGCAGGCCACCGTCTTTCAACGTGCAGCTTCGGGACAAATCAGTGTTTGCCGTCTGCCTTAACTGCAGGTGGGAGCTTCGCTGCTCTGGGCTCATATACACAGCAGCAGAAGCAGAATCAGCAACAGGCTTTATACTTGAAACAGCAGCCTTCATTTTCGTCGACAGCCCGTCCAAAAGGAGACGTAGCTGTCATTATTTCAGCCCTGCGCCGGCATCTTCGCTCTCTGATCCGCATTATGTATAATTGGCAGCCTACGACAGGCGGTACACAAACGTCTTCTGCAGCGGAAGAAACTGCCGACCAAAAGAAAACTGAAACGCTATTGTATAGCCATGCGGAACCAAGGGAGTGCGTGGATTCAGTGCCTCAAAACGAAATGCAGAATCCTTCTGACTGCTGCCTTGGTGGACTGATTCACACAGCTCAGGGTGATCACAAAGAAGGCTCGTCTTCTGTATCCATACAGGAGGACGAATTATCATTCAAAAGCACATGCCAAGCTGCACCAGGGATCACAGCTCACAAGGACGTGGCCGGGTTAAATAAGTCCACCGCGTCAGATGTCACGTTCTCCACGACACCACACGACGAGGGCACACACTGTCACGACGATTCTTCGGAAGCTGCTTCCTGCCCCACCGCAAGCACAAGATGCAGAATAGTCGCAGGAATCAGTGCTATGGCTACTGAGGTACCACCTCTTCCTCCCCTTGGAAGCGTCGATGGTGCTTCAGAAAGCTGGGAAGGCCAGCGATTTTTTCACGAGGAACACCTAGATGCTTGTTCTTTGAGTGAGCTACGTGAGTACCTCCTAATTTTTTCGTCTTTCTTGTGCTTACCTCTTCCTGAAGTGTCGAAACAGGAGCCATCCGCACTTCAGCATGTGAGGTTGCAGCTTCTGCTTCTGAGGAATAGCCAACAACAGCGAATTCAGCAGATTCGTCAAGCGAGGCCAATCCTGCAACGCTGGCTGCCCCTACTGCATAGCACTACTTCAGGGGGGTCAGCTGACGACGATGAAGCTTGCCTCAGCAGCGCTGTAGGGACAGCAATGCCAGCAGTGGAATCGCGCTTTCACAGCACGGCATCTGGATCAACTCTGCCATCGATGCCATTCAGTAGCACTAGTTTGTCCTTTCTCTATTCTTTCGCTTCCCCCTCGATTCCTCACCTTGATGCAGACCTTTCCTCATTATCGACGCTCTCAATGCATGGAGATCAAACGGCCAGCCTTGGCGCTTCTACAACCGGTGAGGACTCGCACTTTCTGTCGTTGTTGTGCTGTCTGATGTTTCTCTCCCTAGATGTCCCCGTATTTGCATTTTCTTTTACTACAGGAGAATGTGCGGAAGCTACAGCTCCCATAGAAGCAAGGAGTTCTGAATTTCCTTCGTCTTCAGTTGATGCGTTTAGCGTAGATGGCCCTCCAAGCAGCGGCAGCAACATCTCCAACACAGAAGCCCCACCAATCATCACAGACTGCTCTATCCCCCCACCCTCAGCAATGGCATTTGTCACTGCTGTAGCAAACGAAGAACCTGCTTGTGAGCCTTTGCACCCCTCCAGCAAGGAGAAAACTTCTCTTTCGTGGAATTCTGAGTGTGGATGCGCGCCACGAGGATTAGTAGCACCTGCTACAGGACTACGTTGGTCCTCAGGCACTACGGTTGGTATCCGGTTGCAAGGCCTGATAGGTGGGAGCAGCCTGGGTTTAGGTAGCTCGATTTCCTTGCCTGAAGGTGCGGCCGGAGTAATCCAACGTGCCACGGAAATAACAGCAAGTGGAGGACTTTCTTCTAACAGTCGTGGTGGGATTGGAGCACTGTCGGGCGGAGGCACTACCTCCACGGTGGCGTCGCCTCCTCATCTTGAGTGGATCTGCGATGCGACGGCAAATGCAGTCAGCAACTCACCGCCAGGAACGTCTTTACCCTCTTACATACTTTTTAATAATGGACAGTCTCCGAGTTCCGTCAACAGCGTACCATTTGCAAGGCCTTGCAACAATTCCCGGCGAGCAGCCAATGGATGCTCCACAGCAAGCCCCGCAGAATTAGGGCTAATCATATCTGCAGAGGGCTTTGGCCAGGGAAGAACACAAAGGGGCAATGTCCAAGTGACATTTTCTCCCCAGATGGGGGCGTGGGTTGTTTGCTGCGCCCGTGGGTTGCTACAACAAAGCAGGGCCTTTTCTGTAGCAACTCTGGGGTTTGAGGGAGCCAAGAAAACAGCCCAGCAATATGCCACACACTGTAGGTCTATGTATTTATGTGCACTACAGCGCATAGCCACGAAACCTGCCTTGTGGTTAGGATGCCTTTATTACACCACGCAGAAACTAGTAGCGCCTGTAGGTAAGCAATCATGCTCAATCCGTAATACTCTCCACGTGTCATCTAGTATAGACAGTTTTGCTTCTTCAGGCCGCAGACAGTGCTCTTCTAAGCGCGCAAGCGACCGAACGAGCAAGAGTAAAGGTGGAGACAGCAGGGAAGAAGCTGCTCGCGGAGCAGCTCGTGGAGCGAAGGAAGCATGCAGGAGATCTGGAAACGCTGTCACTCCAATTCCGCAGGTGACTCTTGGGCTTGCAGGACCTCCAGGAGGAGCTTTTAATTTGGCAAGGACCAGCAGCCAGGAGTTCATTTTGCCCAAAAGTGTAAGCAAAACCACTGTCAAAGTACGGAAGGACAGGACGGTATCTTGGACGAAGAGTCAGTATCTTACCAGTCTTTTTGCCCAATGATGAGTTGCCCTAGGAACGCCTTGCATTGCTTTGTCTGCAATAATAAAACTGTGTTTCATTCGCTGCGCGGGGGCCTGCTAAAGCCTGCAAAACATTGATTAGAGAGCTGCTGAGCGTCTTTGCAGGATTTTTCAGCCAGCCGTGTTGCTCGGCTGAGCCGTAGAGCAATGGAGTTACCATACGTCCATGGGGTTCGCTTTGAAGCTGCAAATTTTGCTTGGGTTGCCCAAATGAGGGGAGAAGCTCGCAGATTTCTGGTGAAGAAACATGGATTTGTAAAAAGCAGACTTTGTGCTATCGAGAAGATCGAAACATGGAGAGCAGCTTTGTCTCCAGAAGCTCTTGCCAGTGAGCTCAAAGGTAAAGCAAATTCAAGTATGCCTTGTAGAGTTTTGGAATCACTGCTATTACAAATTTGAGCATTCAGCTCATTCTGAACAGTCCTTCTACAGCTTACTGATGCGTCTGCTATTTCTTTCCTGGTAGGGGCATATCCCTGTGACTAACTATTTCTCATAGCCTCTCGTTTCACCGAAAACGTCAGAATATTGCCAGAAGTCATGTAGGGATTCTTGGCTTGCCAGGCCGTTTTATGATGCAGCCGAACAGGACGTACTGGCTATGGTTCCAAACATTTGCCCAGAAGATACCGACCCAGAGACACTGCAGGCAGTAGAAGAGTCTTTAAGAATGAAGTTTCAGCGAAGCACCGTGATGGCAAGACCGAATTTGCATGCTAGTCCTCAAATTGGTTTTAAGAGGCAGCGAAACCCATGTTCAGATGTAGAACGGGAGGAGCCTAGGCAGACTGTTGCACATGATCTGGCTACTGAGCAACTTCTTCTGCATCAACAAGTGCTGACTACACAGCAGCTCCTCTCCCAGCCAGAATCATTGCATGAAAGGTCAAGGCAGCATGAGGAGCTGACACATCATCTTCTTGCACAGCCATCGCAGCAGCAGCTTGCAGAAAACTCGCAGCATCAGCTAATGACGCAACAGCATCTGCTTCGCAGTGTTACTCCACCCTTGAATGACAGCAGAGCCGGAGACGACACACAGCAGCATCAACAGCAACAGCAAGCGCTATTTTCCTTCCACGGATTTCGCACGAGAAGCCAACAGCAGCAGCAGATGCTCTCGCACCAGTTTTCGTCTCCAGTTTCGTTGGTGCCGGCGACAAGACCCCAGCAACAGCTTGTAGACGCAAACAGCCAAATGAGCAGTACCTCTGCAGAGCTAAAGTGATTTGGTAGATCTAAGAGGGACTAGAGGAGTTGGCTGTGAGCACGCCTCAGGAACGCGTGGATTGGCCGACGCACTGGAAGTCTCTTTTACCTCCTCAAAATAATTTGATGTCTTTTGTTTCCAAAGCCAGCTGTCCCTAGTTCCAAGAATTCTGCCGTAGAAAAAGTTTAGTTGACCTGTAGGTTACAGTCTAGTGCTATCTGGTTAGTGATAAGACTGTTTGGCTCAGCGCTGACGAAGACCCTGACAAAACGCCGTCCGTGCTGTGCACCACAACGGACCACAAATGTGGCTCTAGTAGTGTACTTTAAATTTGAACCGAGATTTATCCGACCTACAAAGTATATTCGTTGAAGGCAAGTTGCCAGACTGTATAAAGAGCATGGACCCTGCTTGTCTTGTAATAAGCCCACGATGCCAGCGGCGTTGTGACATGGAGGGACCCTGTTATGGCCATGTGGTCAGTTTCGAATCACAGATAGTTTGATGTGGGGTGATTTCTTAAATTTCTCCCTTTTTTACGTTAGACGGCCACTCTTGCTAAATATTTGGACTGCTCGTGTGCGATGCTAGCAGACCTTTAATGCTAGCTGACTGAATATTGCTGTGTTCGAGCCAAGCTCTCTTTGGCACGTTCCAGTGTATGGCTCTTCGATCGTTGTGCGATCTGGCCCTCACCCTGAGCCTAGAAACGGCAGACTACACTAGCAGAGAAAATGCAACTTTGAGCGAGCGTTTGCTGTCAAAGCAGCAGCCGGAAAGAGTCAATCGAAGATGTTTGCCAAGTAAGAAACCTGTGGAAACCATTTGCCAACTACCAAGTTCGAGAGCCAACAGAATCGACGAAGGCACCGAACATCTATAGGATGAGCAGAAAGATACAACTTCGCCAACCGAGGGCGGTAGCACCGCAACAGATCCAACAACTGACCACAGATGTGCGAAATCCATGACAAACGCTGAATCAAGAGAACATGTGTTGGGAAATTCAGGCAGGCACCTGCAGTAGAGCATTCCTGCAGGAATTAATGGTTCATGGACCGTTACAGGCAATATGAAAGCTGTGGGCTAGGACACTTTGCTGCTGACAACGCAACTCCTTGCAAACCCTGGAATGTGCCAAGTACGCACAGTGCACCAACAAGTACCTGATGGCAACTCTGCTACTGAATTTTTGAACATGTGGGCCCAGGCCCAAAGGGAGAGGTGCAGCTTACAAACCTGATAGTCGTTGAGGCACAATCAAGGACCATTTCGCATAGTCATGACATGAGAGAAAACCATAAAGACTTTTCTCTACTAGGGAGAAAAGACAAAAAGTACACGAAAATTAACACATTCGGCCTGCTTGCAGAGCACACCAGCAGCGCTTCCCAGCAGAAAAGAACAACTATACGTTGGAGCTAAAAGTACATGTTTTGCTAGGTAGTGACGAAGTGAAGGGGGACAAACAGCAGCGTCGACAGAGGCAAGGTGCCTTCATGTTTGGAAGCGTCAGTTTTATGCCGCTCTGGTGGAACAATTTGCATGAAAAACAGGACAAACCGCTTATGGCTGTGCTACGTGGCGTTGGGAAGGCTGTGGCTATTCTCTTTTCTGCGGTAGGCCCATCCCATGACACGCTATTGAGCATTAATGCACTATCTACTTTCTACTGATCCTTAGAATCACGGCAATTAAGCCAGTGCGAGTGCGCTGAAATGTGTGCTCACCGCCATTAAGGGCTCGCTTTTTGAATGCTAACTGTTTCTTGACTGCACGAACGACTACTTTCATGGTGGCAGTAATTCCCTACAACCACATATAAACAAACCTGATTGTCGCTAGTCCCACGTTTCTGCAACACAGGAATGTTCAGTGCTGCTCGGACAGGTTCCAGGTATACCAGCTCAGAAGATGTCAACATTTTTATGTCAATTGTTGGAGCGCTACAAGCCATGTGAGAGATAATGGCAGGAACCATCGATCAGACAACCATGTGCTGGGTCAGTTCATCTGAGTCGCGTGCGCCAACAGCCGCAGCTCACAGCACAGCCTGACACTCAACTAGGTTGTTCAATGAGTGACTGCAAACAATGAAAGCCCAACCGAGACGGCATGCCTTCATTTGGGTACTAATCTGTCTTCCCTACGCGTATGCAGAATTCATATAGCTACAGATGTAACCTGGCGTGCACAGCGTGGTGCAAGCAAAGCATCCTACAAGACACAAGCAGACGCAGAAGCTGACATGGCTGATGGAGTTCTGACCGTCTCCACAACGGCCGCAGTTGGCTGCTGCCCAGCAAAGTCCTAAAGTCTGCCATTTACCGTATGACGGCATATCATTTTGACTTTGATTAACAAGAAGATACGTCAACTACCAGCGCTCTATACCTTTGGTGTGCCTTTGCTCTCGTAACACAGAAGCATAATAAGGACACTGAAAAGGAGCTACGCCTCGTGCTTAATCCTTGAACCCCAAGCGCTCCTAGAATTCTTGCTGTCTTCTATAGGTATTCTATTAAAGGTAAATTACTGATGCTAAGACAACGGTGGACGTCACCCGTAAAAACGGTGTTGCTATCCCGGCATAGCAAATTAGCTCACAGAGTATCCGGACTACGTGCGCACTCTAATTCAGATAATGTTTTGGCAGTCAACATGATGGAACGAGAAACGTTAAAAGCGTGTGTCAGAAGTCCGCAACAAGCAGCCTGTGAGACTGAAGTACCTCATGCAACCCTTTTATAGCGTATAATCCTAGAAGGAGCTATTCTTGCCGTTTGACCATGGACAGTTTGCTCGTAATGTGCATTTCGGCGGGTCTCTCTGAAAAGCTGCACAGTTTGTTTTAAGAGCAAATAGCTTGCTTTTGTGCATGGAATTATGTGTATCTTGCATTTAAGGACAGCCCTGAATATTTTAGATTAACTAGCCAAAGCAAGCTTCTGGTCTCCGCGTGAGTCAGAGAGAATGTGCAAGAATTAGCTTGAAGCAAGACTAGAAAACGTAAAAGTATGCATGAGCGTGAAGCACGAAGCCTCTATGCTCTGTCAGTTATTAGGATAGTCTCCGAGCGAGCCTGAGGCGCCTGTGGTATTCTTCAAGAGACAGAGGTAACAATAATTAGGACGCCTTTCTGCGCTTCTGCTTTCATGTATAAAAATGTACCGCCCATTTCCCCAAATTTCGAGCACCTTCCTATTGTGTTCCAGCACCATCAGCTGCTACGACGCAACTTTGCTCACTGTCAACTGACTCGTTGGCTTTTTCGCTTTCAAAGAAAACTAATATGTTATAAATTGCACACGGCCTTTCATCCACGTAGTGTCATGTTCGGCACCGCACAGAAGCAGCTAGAAAAAGCCGTGAAGACAGCATGGCATAGCGGGTCCTCCGGCTCTCCGAAATTCGCTACTTTCAATGACACAGACGTAGGGACGCAGTAATAAGTTGTTATCTGAGTTCCTTATGCCGGTGTAGCTCAAATGTGCTGACGCCGGGTATTTTTTTGACGCTCGCGATACCGCTAATGTGACCGAGTGTTTGTTTGCATCCCTCCCTGCAATCCTTGTGTCTAGAGATCAGCATTCGTAAAGTACGTTACATGCCCGTTTTAAAAGAGATAGCTCCCGACCGCAGGAGTACGACCGATACGTCCCAGCTAGCGATGGGATTGCCGGTGGCGTATGTTGCGCCTCCTTCCTAATAAGGTTGCTTCCTCCTGTCGAAGCACCATCGAACTTCATCTTGCTGTGCTGTCGAAGATTCAGAATTCATTTCAGTGGCTTAAAAGCGTTGTCCTGGTCTGGACGACTAGTTAGACGCAGGGGATTAAAAGAAAAGCGACCCAGACCTTGCTAGCCCTCGCTGTGCTGTTTTCTGCGCAGGATCTTCGGTAAGCTGATGCGACCCGTGACATTCGGGGTCTTCGGAGAATAGATCGCCTATGAAGTTCGACACAGCATGTAGAGTAAAAGTATAACTGCCAACTCTAGTATCACGTTACTACTATTACAAGACTATGTTGCATACCAGGTGTAGTGCGCAGGCACTACAGTAGGGATTGCTGGTGAGCTGAAGACGGTAGCTAGCTGGTGACAGGTTATGAGGCTGAAAGGGCGCAGAATCTTCTTACTAGTAAGGGAGTAGGGGAACTTGTCAGCAAATGAGCATATGTAAACTAGAAGTGTCTGCAGATACCCGAAGATTGCGGCTGGTGGTAGCGCAGACACCGGCGCGGACCACCGCCCCACCGGACCATGAAAACAAGGACCGTGAGTGGAAGGACCTTTTGGGAAAATCGGATAGAGAAGTCGAACTATGACTGCTTTTATTGACAACTTCGTATTTGCTTCATGAGGTATGCGTTGAAAAGAGAGGGTTTGTCAAAGGGCGACCTATTCGTGAGCCAGGTAGCAACGTAGTAGCAGCAGAAGGAGTTGTGCACTAGATTTGTGGGCTGTTCCGGGATATAGATCTTTCTTTTCCATACGTAGGAGTCGTAAAACTATGCCGTAATGATTCACACCTAGACAGCCTAGCTCGGTGAGGGATGCGCCTACGCAACAGACGCTTTATTGTCCCTACTCTGCAGGAGACGCCTACTCAATGTCCGTAAGCAAAGTGCTTCGCGCGACACGGGCCAGCCATGGTCATGCTACTCCGGAACTCACCGTAAAAGATCGGCCGCATGGGCATAAGGATGCGCCTATAGCCAATGTTGCTGGCTTGTCAGGGGACAGTGCGTATGTTACGTGTGACCAACTTCCCTCAGCGGCTGTGATGAAGAAAGTTATGGACGGGCCCTGGGAATCGGGCGCAAGGTTTCCCATACTTGCTGACGACATCAGCAAACCTTTTTGCTGCGCACCGAACGACGGTACACCCAGATGTGACTGGATCCCTGCGACTGGGGGAGCGCACTTATTGACCACCTTATGAGCCCAGCTCTAACTTATTAGATGTATATACGACGAACTATCGACCTAAAAGACTGGGCAAAAGTACAGAACCGGCTTTTGGAACGGTTCGACAAGTCAATATTGCACAGTCAATTGTTGGCGGAGTTGGCTATGGTAGGGTGAAATGGCGACGCTAAGGAATACACGGACCAGTTTGCGGCTGTAGCGGAGCGTGGTGTGGAGTCCACCCCAGAGCAGCTCGCTGACTATTACTGCTCCGGGCTGCCAGACGGTCTCCATCTTCTCATAACCATTAAAGGGCAGGTGAAGCATTCGTCGTGGGAGCAGGCAGCGACAGCCGCAGCGCGGCTCTACGAGACTAAGCAAACCGTGCTAGAGCTACAAGAAAGGTCCAGCCGAGCTATCAGAGCGGCTGTTCAGGCACGTGGAACCCAGAGGAACCACCAGAACGAAACTTCCCTTGCGGGGAACCCTGGAAACTGCTATCAGTATCAATGTCGTGGATACCCGCGACTCCTTTATCCCAGAAAGGGAGAACGTACCAAGCGTCAAGCGAAGGCCTGTAGGAAGTGTGGCGTTGTGGGACACTGTGCTCGGGACTGTCCTCCTTACGACCGTGGCAGGAGTCAGCCGGAAGGCAAAAGCAGCAGACAGCCCACCCGTCACAGGACTGAGACAACTGAACCTTTAAGCAACAAGCTGCGGCTCAGTAGCAAGCATCTACCGGCTTTGGACAGCTTCCCTAAGTTCGAGCGCCGTTACCAAGGACCTTCTGAAGTCATCGATTGTGTAACGGCTGTCGTTTACCGTCCCGCTTTGCCTCTCACCTATGAATACCACAACGTTTTCCACGCTTCGCAGTTAGTTCCACACCGCCGCCGCCTTCCCCGCTTGGTTACGCAGGATGCCGACGCCGGCTGGACCCCCATCCGCAAAGTGGCAGGCAATCCAACACAGCAGCAAGAGGTAGATTATAGCGTGGGCCAGCGCGGCTGGGAAGCCGACGCCCCAGTATCTCATCAAGTACCACGGAACTCCTGAAGGTCAAGCCACCTGGGACACCGTTAACCACCTTACAGGATGCCTGGCATTGCTTCGTTCTTTGCACCGCCACCAGCGAAGACTTCTTGGGGCTCGAAACCATCTAGTTCCTTCCAAAGCCTAGGGGTTTGGGTCTGTCAGCTTCCGCCTCCCGCAGGATTGGCAGCCTTCCATGACGAGGAGGGAGGGCGCACCTCGCATTGCATAGGCTCACGGCACTACCATTATGAGAGAATAGAGAATGAGGAGGCAGAAATAATGTGTTATGAGTAGCCCGGTTCTGTGCGGTGAGGGGATAACTTCTGCGCAGGCATTACAGCAGGTACTGCTGCTGACCTTAAGACGGTTGCAAGTGGGTGACACAGATTAAGACGCTGAAGGAGCGAGGAAACTTCTTGCTAATAACGAAGTAATGCAACTTAACAGGAAATTAGTATCCGTAAACTAGAATTGAGTGGGAATACCCGAAGTGTGGGGCTGGCGATAGCGCCGACACCCGAGCTGGACAGCACCCCACCGGATCACGAAAGCAATGGCCCTGCGTGGAGGCACTTTTTGGGAAAATCTGATAGACAGCTCCAACTATGACTCCTTTTGTTGATAATTTGGTATTTGTTTCATGAGATATGCGTCAAATGTAGAGGGCTTGTCAAAGGACGCCCTAATCGTGGACCGTAGAAACAGCAGAAAGCGGTGTGCAGTACACTAGGAGGACAATTTTAATGGGTTGTCCTAGATTTTCCTGCAGCCTACGTCCGCGACAACCCTGGCTCAGCACGACTTCCAACCACGAGGTCAATGCTCGAAATTTGCTTTGGGGATTCCCTCACCAACCTTTTCGTCAGGTGCAGTCGGACTTCCACATTCTGTCTGGTGTGGCTGCGCCCTAACGATATAGCGCCCGCGAATGAGCACTGATGGTGGACGAAGAGAAACTGTGCGACGAGGCACTGGAGCGAAAATGTCATCTTCCGTTTTCGTTCGTGTGCCCAGAAAAGGTTCAAACCGCGTCGATCTCTTTCGAGGTAAATGTTCCTTGAAAAGCAGTTTATGCAGAACGCACAGAATTTGTTTCCACAATATTCTTGAATAAAACGTAACTATGAGCTTGGCAAGAGTTTTTTCACGCAAGTCAACTGCATCAAAAATTTCACCCATGAAAGCATCTAGCAACAGAGCGCATTCGCATAAAAGTTATTTTGAGGACTTCTGGCAAATACTGAGCATTGCGGCGAGCAAATGTAATATCACAGCACTGGCACTTATGAATGCGAGCACCCTGCAATTGCTATTCTCATGGATTCGCTGCCTTTCTTAGTGGATCATGAGCCCGATGAGCTAACCAGACTGTCAGTTGTCCAGCCCCTCATTTGCGCATGCTCTTGAATCGCCTTTATTTTCACCTAACCTTCACTTACAGCAATATGGTGCTACAAATTTTTAATTGCATTTCAACTTCGACCGCATCTGGACTTCCTTGAGCAGCGCATGCAGTCGTCACCATCATTCGTTTGAGCGAATTTATTTTATGAACGCTTCTCGCTTAGCTAACTCCAACGCTGGGATCACCGGTCGTTACTGAAAGGATTCAATGCAGCATCGAGAGAAAGGCGTTGGCCGCACATCTAGACTCTCGCTTTAACAAATGACACTGGTCAAGACGCAGCTGCTTTCAGAGACTAAACGACATGGGCAAGTTTCAATGGCAAGGCGAGTTTCCCAAAAGTGGACAGTATATATTTGCATTTGCTCTGAGTCGCACTCATTAGTAGGCCTAGGAAAAAAAGATCTACGGTCTCATTCTCACAGAAAAGTAACACTGTCCGTGGCATTCGCATAAGAACAAATTCACCATTTCTCTTTGTAGGGTCATAGGCATGCATGAACTCCGACCCATATGTAGCCGTGAACTTGTTTCTGAGGAAGGCAGATGCAATTAGAAACGTGCTAGGAGCAATGCTCCACAGAACTCAGGGTATTAGGAACAAGCCCACACCCCCTGCATATTACCTTTCGCTAGGCAGAGCATGCCACATCACGTAGCTTGCATCTATGCAGCTAAATACATGTGGTAACTTTCTGTATGTTTGATTGCTCCGAAGGGTTATCATCTCTATTTGTCTAAGCTACAAGCGTGCTGTGGTGCAGGGCTTCCACCGTAATATATCTCTTCGTGCCTCCATAGGCTGCACTCGTGCCTTTGTAGAAGGATTGAGGGGCGGAGTTTCAACAAGTGCCGGTGGCGTGACGAAGCACTGCTGAGTTTGCCAACAGTATAAGGGAAATTCAATAAGATTAGGATATCTGGCGGAATTCACTGAAGAAACTAAGAATTCTGAGCGTGCTACTAATATCCACATAAACTACGCGTGCACTGCAGAGTCCGCGTTTGTTCACATCCTTAGGTACAGGAAGTATATCCTTCGTCGTATGCCGCATTATCCCATGGTAGGGAAAAAGAGATCTAGCAGCATGGAAGATGGAGACGCACATAGCGGAAAACAATGGCCATTTAGAAGGCCCAAGGGCAGCATATGCCAAACGCGAGGTCTTTCCTGCCACATATAAAAGGCTCGTCACTGAGGCTGCCTGGGCTGACCTACGTACCTACCCTCCAACACTGCTGCTGCTGCTAAAATACCTAAAGCGGAAATGGAGGAATCTTCCTAGGCAGGGCAGCGCTCAAGTTGGAGCTGCCCCTGTATAACACTACGTGACTCTGTTACACCAGTGACAATATAACCACTTTGTTGAACTTTGTCAACGGGGATGACGAAATACACAGATGAACAGCCGATGTCTATCATTTACCGATCACATAGTCTGTTACTATGCCATGCAGATATCGTTTGTTTTGCAGAGCCTCCAATATGAACTTGAATGCCTTAACCGAGTTTCGTGAAGTCCTGGCAAGGAGTGCTTTTGCCTAGGAGGCTCCAGTAACTGCTCAGCGAATGCCTCGCGTTTCCCTGGCCTTCCTGATCCATCCATAGTAATTCTTGTAGGGATGAAGGCTGTACCTTTTAAGGCATGTAATTGTCCAAGGCGTTGCAAGCTCTCTGCCAAGAATAGAGTTAGTCTACGTTCTCTTTTAGAAGCGCCATTCATTAGGGCTTCCAATGAATCGTTTCGTGGTTTGGGTCTCGTTCCAAAGGCGTGCTCGCTTCACATAACAGGAATCCATATGCTTTCGCGCCTCGTACTACGTTGTCCAGAGGCTAAAGCGTCGTTTGCCGCAGCAGTTTTCGGAAATGATGGCCTTTTGACCAATAGAAAATGTAAGAATAAGGGGTTTTTGCCATCATTCGTTCTGCTTTTAGCTGGTATTAGCAGCTCTTCCTGCTTTACTCTCTCACGTTGCATCTCTGCCTTTTTTCAAAACGATGGTGTGGCAACGGCGTACTGCTAAGGCCCTGAATATGAGAGTGCTGGCTGCCTCACTTTCGCCCAGTGTAGGCGCCTAGCTTTTGTAGGCTTTGATTCAAAGCCTTCAGTGAATTCATCTTCCGGCATATTTTTTCATAGTGTGTCTGGGTTTTGTCTTCCTGCTCTTTGAGAGTCTTCCAGTGGGCATATCATGCAGCCATCATGCTGAGACATTGTAACTTCGGGATCCCCCAAAACATCTCTTCTAGAGGTTACTAGGCAGATAGTTCCTGCATGCTTTTTCCGACGTGTTACCTGCTACCCCAGGGAGAAAAGAATGGCCCAAGAACGACACGCTCGTAGCTAAATGCCTTCTTGCTTGTGACGAATTACGAGACACCCTTGCTACGCGATGTGCGCCGAACCAGTGACGCCTAGCGCTGGCCGCTGAATTATGATATCAATGCCGAATCGCCTATGTCAGTCTAGGATGGCGCTTCACAAAACCTATAATTCTCAATTTAATGGTACCGCGCCGCCGACGGCATCCACACAATGTCGGCGTCACGGCAGATAACCGTCATGTTGCCACATAAGTCTGTCGCTCCATTTTAAGCTGCAAAAGGAGCAGCGACGAAGAGTTAACTCTCTTGGATGCGGGCAGAATGAGACGCCTGCATTCTCTGACCGACATGAGATACTTATGCGCGCTTGCCTGCAAACCGTCGGTACTACGCGCGGAATTTTGGGGCAAAAACTAACGGACGAAAAGCGCTGGCTGCTTTCAACACGGAATTCAACTTCTGCTGCAATAAAACAAAATGAATGATACCTAGCAACTATGGTTCGTTGGGTCTACAATACGCGGAAGTGCCCACGTCTGCGCTGCACGCAGATTTTCCCGTTTTACCTGCGTTAGAATTCATTACGGAAAATCACATTTCTACTCCACGAAACATTCGTATATCTGATAGAGAACAAGCTGACGGTCGTTGCTTGTCAAGCCCTAAAAAGCCAGAAGCAAAACCAGCCGTTATTGAGCGGCTTTCCCTTAGTTTTCACGAACCTCCAGCCAATAACATGGAGCAAACTTTCGTCTTTCCCTGATTGCTATTTGCTGCTTCAGACAGCAACTGCATGCTAGTTCCGATCACGTGGAGCAGACTAACGTAATGAGTAGTGTTCGGCACATCTTGCATCCCAAGCAGCATCAGCAGAGCGCTCTGGGCGGTGATTCTGAACCCGTGGCACACTAGATGAAGCCAGATCACCATACAAGAGACAAAGTCGCTCGTGGACTCCCCAGGCTAGCTTCCACCGCATCAATTTCATTATACACCGCTGGCTTCGCTGACTAGTGTAGCTAGGAAGGTGTTTGGAGCAAGTTGGCATTGCTGCAGAGTACATTTCCGGCTCTACAGGGAAGATCCACGTATCGCCGTTTAGCCGAACTACGCCGTAAGCCATGAGCTCAACTGCGGCACGCATGTTTCTGGATGTGTACTTACCAACGCACTGCAAGTGTCACAACAGTCCATCCGACTTTTTGCTCTGACTTTTTTCTTAGTAGGAAAGTTGTCCTCGAGTCGAGTTTTTTCCCTGTTGACGACCTGTTCAGCCGCACTTTGCTGGTCATCAGCGAAACTAATCCACTTCTCTCCTGTTAGCTTGGAGGATAGCATTGTCTGCAGCACAGCGGCGCAGTCGCAGTAAGGCATAAGCGTCCGCTGCATCGGCATGAGGCTTTTAGTATAAGTGTTCGAAAGGCTGTGAACTTCTTCGCATGCCCTCAATAGCAGCCACTAACTGTTAGCCGACGTTTCCCAGGAAAAATTCGGAATCCGAAGGAACCTATGGGCTTTCTACTCGCCTTGTTTTGATTATTCAGCCATGCCTGTTAAATCGTC